CCCCCCCCCCCCCCCCCCACCCACCCACCCACCCCTATGGAGGCGGTGACTTAAGAAGTAGGAGAGTGAGGGCTTAAGGGAAAGGTCTTGAAACAAGTCTCGACCCACAACTGAAACACGATGCAATAAAAATTGGGTATGTGGAGTGAGAAATAGAAGGTGGACAATCGGTTGGCATGACATCATTCGTGGTTAGGGAATCCATTCGCGTCCACTTGCGTCCGTTCTCCGACATCAACAACTACTCAAAAAAATGGGTGACAAATAATTCCAACGAAAAATTAGGTCCACATTTGACTTGAGCTGCGTCAAAGGTGAAACCTTAATTATGACATTTGAGCAATGCTAGAGCTCCGGGAAATGAGCGAAAGATTTTGAATGCTGGATCCTAATCGATGGCTGATCTTGCAACCTTAAAGACGAGATGAAAAGGGAAAAAAATTATAATTCCCTTCAATAAACCCGATTCAAGTTAGCTAGTTTCGCACAGTAGCGCATTTCGAGGCAAGCGCCTAAAGTGATTGAAGATATTTCAGGATTGCAACCTCCAACCAAAAGTCCAATTAGCTACAGCAGACGAGACTTTAGCATGTATACACATATCCTCAGAAGTAGCTGGACTAGGTCCCAGGTAGGGAAACCACAAATGGTAGAGTGAGGAGAGTCCGATGAAAGTGCTCAGGATTTATAAGTATAATGGAAGCTACGTTGCACGAATTTGGAAGGATGATGAGGGCTGGAAGGCCTCTGCATTCAAGCCCGAGCTCGCTCGAAACGCGAGCGGTAGCAGGACCGCACCTCCAGCAAGTTTCAGTGAGTACGCTATCTGCACAAATGGCGATATATAATCGTTAAAATTTTATTGAGTTCCAAAAATGTGCCGAGATTGGGGTAAGCACGAAACTACTCACATAAAGGATTCGGTAAAGAGAATGATGTTTAAGAAATCGATCGCAAACAAAGGCAGTGGGAAAGATGAAATAGACTGCGTAGGCGCGATCGATATCGCCAGCACTTGGCAAAAGCGTATGAGATTAAAGGACACTGGCGGGCATGCCCCCCGGCCCCCCAACCCCCCACTGAAACACAGACATTCCACAAACTAAGACGATTTCTTCTCCAATAAATGGCTGACACAAGAGTTATGTGTAAAGAAATTCATTACGAAATCATGTGAAAACATGCCACAGAGAATTTCAGCAACGCTTTGATTTTCGAATAACTCAAAGACTTCCTAACATTACCCAGTCTGTTCTACCGCCCCTTTCGCTTTAATCGCCCCATAATATGGCAAACACTTTAAATCGAATTGGTAAGGCAAGATGTCAAAATAAATGTGGTAAGCTCTAAAGAGATTTTAAACAAAAAGGTGGGGTGGGGGTGGGGGGGGAAGTACTTACATTGGTGGCGTGGTTGTAGAGAAGAATGAAACTTTGAATTCCGCCAAATTTCCAGCGAGTAGTTCCATCTAGAGTGAAGATTTGCTCCACTTTTCGGGAATTG